GCCTAACCTTTGGGTTTGTGTAAAAGAAGCTTTTGTTGAGATTTATGAGGTGACCAGATGCTTTGAGGAAGATGTCCAGCAGCCCTTTGAGTCTGATCAAGTATCTGGAATGCCCATTAAGAAAGAATATTACATCGTCTGCATAGGCGAGATGTGATGGAGGTTTAGCTCTACCCGTGTTCATATTTTTGATGTAACCCTCTTCCATTTTGCCCTTAATTAGCCTACTCAGCACTTCATTGCCAATAATGAAAAGGAGTGGAGAGAGCGGGTCCCCTTGCTTGACCCCCCTACCCATTTTAAAAAAGCCATGTGGAATTCCATTGATGAGTATAGAAAAATGAGTGGCTTTAAGTGTTGATAGCAGGAGCTGGCAAGATTGGGGGCTGAAGCCAAAGGATATATATATATATATATATATATATATATATATATATATATATATATATATATATATATATATATATATATATATATATATATATATATATATATTACATTATATATTATATTGTGTACATTTTATTTTGGGGTGTCATTTTAATTATGAAAATAATTATTTTGACAAAAACTATATTAAGGTATATTTTATATACTTGTTTTAAAATATTTTGGGTATTTTGTTTTATGTCAAATGGAATACACTATAAACATTTGAGAGGAGAATAATTAAATTTTTCCCCCTTTTCTTTTTTGTACCATGCATGATATTGTGTGTATGGGGGTTTTGTCTCCCACTACACTTCATTATAAACTTTGTACTTTTGCTATTTTGCATTTGATGATGTTTCATGCATTATTTCACTCATGTTGATAAAATAATTTTCTTTCTCCCTTTGCCACATACAATTTCAGCCAAGAGAAGAGATAGAGGGAGAAGTATATTTGGGTCCTAAATTTATTATTTTAGGTGTAGAAAATTGATATAATATTTTCTTTAAAATATTATTGATATATCTTCTAGTATTTAATATACAAGATTTATATTATCCCTAAAATTATCTTTTTATTTTATTATACTACTTTAATACTTGCTAGCACAAGTGTTAGGGTAGACTCCGAAGGTTGTTCGTGTGTAAAAGTTAGAGGCCGGACACTTGAACGGCTATGCTTGCTCCTTCAACACCTTTGCTCGACTTCAGGTTCATACTGCTTTATCGGAGAAGGTATAAGTTTCTATCTCTAGCTATAATTTTAGTACGCGTTCTTGGGCTAATAATCACTATTGGGAGATTAAATTTTGTATTTCCGCTGCCCTCCCAACCGCGGTACCTGACACTAGGCGGTACCCCATATCATTTGGACGGTATCGAGGTACCGTGTATCAGTAACGAGTTACTGTAACGGGTACCGTCTGAACCAGAATTTTTCCACAAACTTAATTTTTGATCTATAAAATCCTATTTTTGATACCATACAACTATAAATTAATATGAATATCATTTCCAAACTAAATATGATGTTTTAGTAAATTCAAGAACTTATGTGTTGCATGACGGTAAGCTAGGGTGTTAACACCCGATGATAGGCCACAGTTTGTTATGAATATTGTAATTATTATTGATTATGATGATTGAACCATGATTTAATAATGAAATGATGTTGATAATGTCGAAAATTGATTGTGATGGTTAAAATGATGCCCTGTGCGATTATGATCATATAATAATAATGATCTTATTCTGACAACATACCATAATATTGTTATGAACAAATAAACCATAAGAATAATATTGATTGAGTGTGTTTGTATGAACATCCTGATTAAATGACGATAGTGAATGATTAAGGCTATCACTCTAAGATAAAGCCTTTATGACCACTTTAGTTAGGCCTTGCAGGTATGCCCTGGTGGCCAGGGTTAAAACATACGTACGGGACCCGAAAACCAAACTTGAGTATCTATTCGTTTAGGGGTACCTCCAAACCCGACAGTGAGTAATCCGTTGTTCGATTTTTTCCCTTAATCTGATTAAAGTTTAAGAGTTTGGTTATTATCTACCTTAAATCAATTATAGTTTAAGAGTCTGGTTATTAATTGCCTTAAACTAAATATAGTTTAAGAGTCTCGTTATCAAATAGAATTGAATAATTTAAGAGTCCAGTTATGAAAATGTGGATTTAGTCTTACACTAAGAATACTTTAAGAGCGTTGTTATGATTTGGCCTTAGACTAAAAATAGTTTAAGAGCACTGTTGATATTATGAATATTGAATATTTTAATTAAATAGTATGTGTTGATACCATATGATCTAATATGAATTGAACATTATTAATGTCATGAATATTGAATATCTTAATTGAACATTATGTGTATGATATCAAATTGATTTGATTATGAATTGAGACTCAATTTATGTGTACGTATGTTTGATGCATTAGATATCCTTACTCAACTTCACCGTTAAGCGTGTAGTATGTTTTATTTGCTACACGCAGGTAAACAGAAAGAATGATGTGATGTGATCCTAGCGGTAGACAGGGGCGAGATTGTCGGGATAAATGTGATGATTTTAAATAGTTATTTCAAAAGACATGAATTAATTATATTTTGTGAAGTGCTTTGTTAAGCTTCCGTAACATTGAAAACTCCGCACAGTTTGTGTTATCAATATTATTTTGTGATGAATAAAAGTGTTTGAAATGTTTTAAAATTTAAGATTACCAAGTTTGTACTTGAGTCCAAAAAGGGTTGCAGACCTTGACGAATTAGGGTGTTACATGATTACTAATAGGTAAATACCCCCCCGAAAGCTCCCCCACCCAGTTTAAAAAAACTTGGGACCAGATTGGTACCGCCGGTCATGGCCCTAATTTCCTGGTATTTGTTGTCGTCCCCGTTGTCGGCGTCTCCGAAAGGTCGTACCCCTCCCCCACCGGGCAGTTCCGGAACAAGCCTAGTACCAAAAACTGGCGGTTCCAGCCCGATATCCGGGGTGGTTCAAGAATAGTATCCAGGTCTAAACGAGAGACTGTAGCTGGTGTCAAATGGGCACAAATTATATGGTATAACCAGCTGTACAGTTTTTCTTGTACAGTTGGCATAAAATCGCAATTAGGGAGCAGAGATGCGATCGAAAATTTGTTGTGAAGTAGCTACTGCCCTACCTTTCTCGATCCGGCAAAATCGAGAAAGCATCGTGTGGATGATGAAGGCGAGTGCAGGAAACCTAACTGGGATGAAGATGCTAGGTTGATTTAGGGCACTAAGATGCTCTTAAGATGATGATGATGATGGTAAGATCAATATTTTTTCAAATGTGAAAGAAATGAACTATACTTTACTTGAGAATGATCACTACATTATTTGAGAATAAGCACCACTCTGTTTAAGAATGAACACTACGTTATTAGTAAATGAATATCATAATTATATTGAACAAATGTGTGAAAAAGAATACTTCGTTATTTCAAAATGAGTACTACGTTATTTTAGAATAAGTACTACGTTTTTTCAAATGAACATTTACGTTTGTGCGAGAATGGATATTACTTTACTTCAAAATGAGTACTACGCGATTGTATCTTAATTCTGTTGGGTATTGGTTATACCATATACGCACTCGTTAAATGGGAAGTCGGAACGAATGAAACTCACCTAAGTTTATCGCATTTTTGGTGGTAGCCGATTTTGCAGTGATAGGAGGTTACATTACCTCCCTTCGTCTCTTCTAACCTATCTCAATTTTTTCTCCCAAACAAGATAAAGTTTAAATTTAAGCTCACCCTACCTCCACCGACCTCAAGGCTCAATCCAAACGCTGAGTAAATTTTGCCAGCAACTTATTTGTAAGCAAAAAGAATGCAATCGATGTATTTTGAGACCAGGTCTAAGGCCAATGGAAATACCTATCACGCCCCACGACATCACTGCCCAACGCCCAGGGGGCGTTAAACACCGTCCCCTAGGGTTTCACCGGGGCGTTATTCTTCCGGCATCATATGTTTGACGCAGCTTCTCCCCCCTATAACGGCTAATTTAGCCGTTGGAAGCAAAAAAGAAAAAGAAAAAATTAATTAATTTTTTTATAAATATCAAACTCCAATATTTGAGAAGAAAGGAAGAGAAGGAAGATATCGGAATAATGGAAACCGACCTTTCTATATTATCGAGTTTCGAACGTATGATCTACGAGAGAAGACAAAAAGAGATCAAAGCTAAATATAATTTACCTTAGTTTTTTTTTAATGTATTTTTTTTATTATTGTCGCTTTTTTTTAAATTTAATGAATGTAATTTTTTAAAATTATTTTCGCTTCAATTTATTTTAATTTAATGAATGTAATTTTTTTAATTATTTTTGTTTTAATATAATTAAAAAATAAAATAATTAAATTTTATTAATTTAGTTTTAAAAGATGTATATTTAAAAATGTAAAAAATGAATGTTTGAGAGATTAAATTGTGAGGGAAGTTAACTGAAGCTGGCCCTGGCCCTTCTCCTTCGTTTTTTTCCCTTCTTTCTTCCGCGCTCCATCGCAGCTCATCTCTTCTTCGGTTCACTTCTTCATCTCCAGCACCGCACCTCTCCCATCACGCGGATCTCTACAATCAGCGGATCACAGGTTTGATTTTTTCGAATTCCAGCGCCGCACCTCTTCTTTTTCTTCATTTTATTTCCGATTTTTTCTTGATTTCCTGTGTTTTTCCTTTTTCTGCTGTTTTTTTCCTATTTCGTTCTGTCCTTTGTTCTGTTTATTTTCTGGTTTTTTTTCTGTTTTTTTCGTTTTTCTTTCTTTTTTTTTTTTGCTGTTTTCTTTGCTTGTTAATTTTTTCATTTTTTTCATGTTTTTTCCCTATTTTTTTCTGAGCTAATTCTGTTTTTTTGCTATTTATTGAAGTATCATTTTTTATTTTTTCTGTTTTTTTATGTTGTTTTTTGCTGTTGTATGCTATTTATTGAAATATGATTTGTTTTTTTGCTGTTTTTTTATCCTGAATTTTTTATTCTGTTTTTTCTCTATTTATTGAAGTTATTGGTGCTATTAATATGAGTTTTTACTCATTAAAGTGAAATGTGCTAAATTTTTAGGTTCTGGTTTGTGGCATGATGATATACTTGATTTTCTCTAATAAATATTCAAACAAGTATATTAAGGTAATTTTATTGTTTTGCCTACGTTACGTTACCTAATAAATATCCAAACACAATTTTTTAACTTATTACCTTATTTTACCTACTTTTATTACCTACCTTCAATTACTCACCATTACCTACCTAATAAAACTTTACCTACCTCGAACCAAACACAGCCTTAATTTTCTTTTCTAAGGTTTGGTTTTTCTTGTCAATGGATGCCAGGTTCAGGTTCAACCTGTATGTTCACTTCAGCCGAATACATTGGCTATGGACAATGATCCTCCTCGGTCTGTTTCATTGATAGCTAGTTGAAGACCCGACCGCAGTAATCACCAATCCAAAGGTAAACACATTTCGGGTCGGTGGTTTATTCTCTCTTTTTAACGCAATTCTATGTGCGTGTGCATAATAAATGGGATCTTTCATGTTTTGTGTTGTGGATTGATTCAGTTATTGGTGTCGAGTGCAGATGGGGAGGACCAGTTCCTGGTGAGTGGAAAGCCGTATCAAGATTACCAAATGAAGATATTGTGGAAGAATGGCTTTATTCGGCTGCTTCTCGTGGCTGGGATTATTTGGATGTTTCTCATCTGCACTGTGTTGTTATTTCATTTATGGTCTTGCCAATCATCTGCAGCTTTCTTTTCAGGTTCCCACTTCCCCATCAGTTTACCCTACTTCTGCTTATGCGTTAATTTGCTTGAATGTTAATTTGAAAACAAATGCAGAACTCAGAACACTGTGATGTTTCCATTATGATGATCTGAAACTTTTCATTCCTTTTTTAATTGCTTCTTCCATCCCAATTTTAGGTTCTCACTTCTCTTATTTATTGGGTGTCCCAAACTAAGGTTCCTTTTCCTTTTTAGGGAACAATTGTGTGGGTGATAGTATGATACTCCGCAACATTTTAAATTCCTTTAATGGCATGTATTGTGATTATTATAGTTGATACTAAACTCCCATTGCTTCTTATTTTCGTTGTAGTTTTAAATAGTAAATGCAGCAATGCAGCAATAGTCTTAACTAGACCTGACAAAAAGAGATCCAGAATCGATTACTCAATCTGAATTGCCTGAAATGACTCGGAGAAAAGAATACCCGGTCTATAACCCAAATCCGAGATGCCCCGAACCAGAACCAAAACAATTTGAATTAAACTTGAATGACCTGAAATTGATTATACCCATACTGAAGAGACCCAAACCGAATCATAATCATACCCCAATGATATGCGGACAGAATAATAAACAAATCATAAACTGAGGAGTGTGTTTAGAACTTAAAATATGTATCTATTCAAAATGATATATACTATAACCGTTTTGTATACCAACCCAATTATATCCCAAACCGTATCTGAACTGAATCATAACCGAACTGAACCTAAAAATATAGAAAATCAAACTAGACCCAGTCCCAAACATAACGTAAGTTGTTATAACATATACTCGAAATAGACCTGAATTGATCAAATCTTTACTGGAACTAAAGCTTTTGACTCGATTCCCAGGTCTAGTTTTGATAAAAGCCTCTCTGTTATTATAGGGATAAGACAACATACATCTTGATTCTCGACCCCAATACCCCAGCCAAATTGGGATTGTATTGGGTTTGTTGTATTACAATCAATATTTTACAATTTCCTAGGAAGCTACTCAAAATGGAGAAATAGAGCTTCAAAGAAATCTGTAAGAACGCCAATGGCGGCTGAGACAGAGAATTAGAGAGAGAAAATGGGTTTGAGGGAGAAGATTTGTTTCATTTCTTTTGATGCTTTTTACAGAGAAGGGGGGGGGGTATTTATCCACACAGGCTACCACTAAACAAACTAAAGGATGCCAACCCACTCTAAGTCACTTCTAACAGCTAGAATTAACTTTCCTGAATATACTGTAACATACTATCCCCCAATTGAACAACCTTGTCCTTAAGGTTGAAAATCTGGGAAGTAGCTGAGATACTATATCCCTCCACTCAAGCCAAGAGCTGCAATGCCTTTGTCCAAAGTCCATGAAGCTTAAATCTGATTGGCAAGATCACGTTTTGTATTGAGTTCCACAGGAGAAATTCATTAGCTTAGAAAATCAAGACTGATGGAAATGTGTTGAGATCTTCAGTCTTCTGCGGTGATAGCCATACAAGCTCTTCTGTTTTGCGCCTCTCAAACATGAGTTATTCCCAAGTATTCAAATGTCATTTGTAGTGGCCTGACATTCCTTCTGATTGTGCCTAATATGCTCCACCACTGGATGCCAAGCACACTGTCACACCCGTGTAAACTATAACCACCAAACACTACAACCTTTAATGCACTGATGGATTCCAGTTTGCATTCCAATTTGTTGGCAAGATCATAGGCAATGAAGTTGTATACGTTTCCTGAATAAATGAAAAGCTGAATGACTTTCTTTCCCACAGGCCACAGCTAAATCTGTTGGCCTTGAATGCCAAAACCTCGTAAATGTTCTGATGTGCCTTAGTTGTCATGTCCAAGGAATTAACCAATGTGTTCTGACTAATACAACTAAAGGTTGAAGATTAGTAGCTGCTTCATTGGGCCAATGGAAGGCTCCTTTCTTCAGTATACAGATTCTATGCTGAGCTTCCTTAAGGACATGTGTTCTATCAGAAATAAAATATATGCCTTGTAGTTTCCGTCTGAAGTATTTGATATATATATATATATATATATAAATATATATATATATATATATATATATATATATATATATATACGGAGTATATGATAATACACTTAGTGAACAAGATAATAAAAACAATAAATGAAACAAGAGATTAAAGAAATCTGGTTAAAGTGACGCAAGAGCAAAAAAAATGGTTCAATGTTTTTCAAGTTAACAAGATATAACAATCATTAATATGGATTAAAGATAACATAATATAGATAAAGAAATACAAAAAAAAGGATAAATAAACCCACAATCGACGCAGGAGAATGACAGAGGAAATCGAACGAGAGAGAGCTCTGGGTGACTTGGGACTATTCGTGAGAGCAGCGAGAGAAGATGACGAGACTTCTGGAGAGAATCGACTGGAGATCGATTGAAGATGAAGAGATGGAGAAGAATCACGAAGCAAAAATCACCCGATCTCTATAAATAATCAAAGGTCAGCCTGATTTTTTAAAAATTTGTTGACCTCTCAAAAAGCCTAGATGGCGTACGCCTCTTTCCGGAAATTGAATCGAAGATCGCAAATTATACCGTACATCCGGCTGTACGGGAAGAACCGTACAGCCGGAATTTAATTAGGGCGAACGGGGGAATTAGGGCAAGAACCGGCGAATTGATCGGCCATGAAGGAAGCTGCGCGATGGTTGGATTCCCGATCGGCGATTTGCGGATGAAGGTCCGGCGATTACAATGAAGATGAAGGTTGTTTGAAAGTCCGATCGGAGGAGGACGATGAAGTGATCCGCGATCTGAAAGTTAACGATGGTATTCTGCTTCCAAGCGATGGTCTTGGACTTCCTACCAGATTTCAAACTACATATGAATGGTACATTAACGGTAGATTATTTAAGATTGAGTACTAGTTTATATGGAAATGAGTACTAGTGG